CTGGGTGAACCTTGCTGGCCCCAGCTCTGGTGGGCAGAACCACCTGTCTATCCCAGTGAGTCCTACATTGGTCCACTAATGCTCTAAGTTCTAAGCTGTGAGCTGGTTGGTTTCACAGTATGAACTAAAGGATAGAGCTGGCCAACTGGGCTTGATAAAAAGGTCGTCCAATCATCAGGGGAGGAGGGTGGGTCAATCGCACCATGGAGCTGAGAGGTAGTCAAGACAGCTAAGTGTAACTTGGCAACTCTGAGCAGGGTGAAAACAGGACGGCAAGGTATCACCATGGGTTGATCCTACAGCAGACGGATGAACATGGGAACTGAGCAAGGACAGATTGGAAGGTGGGGAGTTCTGGAGAGGAGCCTCCAATGACACAGTGAGTGCCCAGACTGAGCCACAAGTGGGAGACCCAAGAAACCCTGAAGGAAGACTTTGACTACAGGTTGGATGTGGATGGGGAAGAGATACTGATAGGAGTCGATGACTATAAGGTTTCAAGCTTGAGTAACAAAAAAAAAAAAAAAAAAAAGAGGAACCAGGAAGAGTTGGTGATGTCACATCAAAGAAGCCCACAGACTGCTGGGAAAGTTCAGTCTCTGAGAAATAGGAGATTGTAGGTACAGATAGAAGTGCATGCCCGTGTGTGTGTGTGTGTGTGTGTGTGTGTGTTTAGGTATAGGGTGAGAATGTCTTCATCGAGTCCCACAGTAGCTGTAGGAGGAGGTGCTGCTGGGCACTGGCATGTGCTCTGTAGAGGGTGCAGACCAGGAAGAAAGAGCAAACCTGAGAGACACTTACCATCCCTGGGGCTCTCCTTGTTCTCAGTGGGCTGTTCCACAAACTTCAACAGTGGGGACCTTGACCTCTGTATGGTGGGAAGAGTCTGGTCACTGAACAGTATAGTGTCTTTGCCCCCTATGAAGAAGATGGGAAAGTTGGCTTGTCATGTCACTGGTTTAGCTGGGTAACATTTACAACCCGTCACAGTTTTCATTGTTAACTTGAGACACTGTAGAATCGCCTGGGAAGAGAGTCTCAGTGAAGGGATGCCTTGATGAGGTTGGCCTCGGGTATTATTTTGACTACACTGATTGAGGTGTGAACACCAGCTCACTGTGGGTGGCACCATTCCCTAGTCAGGGGATTTGGGGCTGTGTAAAAGAAAATGAGCTGAGCATAAGCATGCACACAGTCTCTCTCTGCCCTAACTGGGGATGTGACTAGATGCTTCAAGTTCCTGCCATCTCGGCTTCCTACAATCTAGAATGGTAGGTTGAATGCACCCTTTCTTGCCTAAGTCGTTTTTGTCAGAGTGTTTCTATTGTAGCCACAGAAATGAAACTAAAATGCCCCCCATACAATGAACTGGCTATTTGGTTAGGATACTCCTTCAGCTGTGGGCAGTACAAGTAATGTAGCCAGTAGGTCGTTCCCTAGTGTGTGGATAGAGCATGGCAGTTTCTGTGATGGAAGACCTTGAATCATTTCCCAGTGGCTGCTTGGGAACAGCTGCCCACAAGTGCTCCCAGTAAAGGGAAGCTTGTATGGCTGTGAAGGAGTGAGCAGTTGGGTGGGATGGCAGCAGTGGCAGAAGCTTGGGAGGGACACTATACTAGCTGTGCTCCGGATAGAATCACCTGCTCACTGGGTGACAGCAAGGGCGTCACGTTCCTTCTCTAACCCTCGCATTTCTCATCATGGGTGGTTGTGAAGACAAAATGAAATGGCCAGGAAAAGGCCTTGGGTATTTAGAGAGCATTTAGCAAATGTCACCTGCTGAAGTCATCAGCACAGACTCCCCCACACCTGATAGCTGTCCTAATTGCATCTGGTCATGCCAACTACGTGACTGTCACAAGGCAGGTGGTATCGAGTCCTCCACATTATCCCAGCTGTATTCCCACTTGGAACATGCGCTCAGCTTGACCTTCCTGCTTGTTAGTGTGAGTTCCCCAAAGACAGTAGAGAGGTTTGGATGAGAGGCCAAGGTAAAAGGCACCGCCTTTCCATTGTAGAAGGCAGAGCAGGTAACACAGATGAGCAGCAGGGAGGAACAGCTTTGAACATGAGCATGACTAACAGACACACTGGCACCAAATGCATGGATGAACAGTGGTGCCATTAGGAGGTCAAGTGAGCCCATAGGCACGCTATGATGGCAAGTCTTGGCTTGAAAGGCCTAAGGATTCTCTGGTTGGAAACTGTTGGGCCCCAAACAAGTTGCCCAAGTTGTGAAATTCTGCACACTAGGTCAAAGGACCAATAATGCAGAAGGCCACATAGGCTTCTCATTCGGCTGGCACTTGAGTGGCTGCAAGCTCTGCTGATTCCATATGGCACCAAAGTCCTCATTCCTGCCTCTAAAAATGAACCAAGTACTTTCAACCCCCAGATTTTCTTCCACAGGCTGATGCCTTGGAGTGCAGACAGACTGAAAAATGAAAAGCTCAAATAGCTAGATTATAGCCTCTAGCCAGATCGTTTTCTCGCTTTTAGTATTTCTGTGGATTGTGTCTGTCTGTGTGCCTTCATATCTCTCTCTCTCTCTCTCTCTCTCTCTCTCTCTCTCTCTCTCTCTGTGTGTGTGTGTGTGTGTGAGAGAGAGAGAGAGAGAGAGAGAGAGGGGGGAGAGAGAGTGGGGAGCGGGGTCAAAGCTCTTAGATGGGAATCAGGACAATCTTGGATGTTGGTCCTTGTCTACCACCTCATTTGAGACAGGGTCACTTGGGCATTTGCTGTGTACACCAGGCTCTCTGGCCCATGAGCTTCCAGGGAGTCTGTCTCCCCATCTCATCTGGCCATCAGAGCACTGGGGTTACAGATGTGTGCTAAAATGCCTGGCTTTATGTGGGTTCAGGGATTCAAACTCAGGTCCTCCTGCTTGCACTTTACCCAAGAGCCACCTTCCAGCACATGGTGTTTCTTTGTAGAATGTGAACACAGCACTCCTTAGAGCTACCTATATAGACTTGAGAAGACCCGAGGGAAGGATGGCAGCCGGTAGGAGTAAAGGGATCAATCCTGGCTAGGGGGTGTGGCCTGCAACACCTACCATCTGGCTTCTTTACAGCAGGCCCTTAGCTTTGAAATTATCAAAGGACAGCCTAAACAGCTTGGAATAGTCTCAGCTATCTAGATGCCTTCTCTCTACAGCCTGACATTTGTCAAATACATTTACTCTTCAGCAAGATCACAAATTGACTCCAAGTCTAGCAACCACCATCAAGATCTCTATGATGGGGCTGGGGGAATCTAACTTATTGGTAGCAAGCTTATTTAGCATGCATTTGTTCCTGGGTTCAGTCCACAGCACTAATGAACACCGTGTGATAGTGGATGCCTGTGATGCTAATGCTTGGGAGGTAGGAGGAGGAGGATCTGGAGTTCAAAGTCATCCACAGCTACTGCAGCAAGTTCAAGGCCAGACTAGGCTCCATGAGACTATCTCATGAAATAAAACTAGATGGTGCTGGCCAGGAGAGTGCAGAGGAGGAAAGAGGGGAGTCACAAAGCCTCTGCCTTGTGGATTCTTTTTCCACAGCCCAATAGAGTCTCAGAAGAGGTTTTTCTGCCTTCCGGATTCCTCCTCCCTGGTCCAGAAACCAGTCTCTGCTTACATCATTTGCCCATGTATCTTGGCTCAGAAGGAACCATGTTCCTTCAGCACCCATCAAAGATGGCATGAAATGTGAAACACACAAATGCCATCTGCTATGACCTAATTGTCACCTAACTCCCTCCCTGTGTCCTGTTCTAATATGAGTATAGCAGACAGCTTAGGAAAGGGGAAAGTGTTCTTCCTCACGTCAGCTCTGACCGGAAGTTGGCCAGTATAGAAGACCGCTGCTACATCAGCAGAGAAAAATGCTGCGATAGATTAGCAATGTCTGTCACTGGTGTGAGAATGGTGTACACAACGTACACCAAGTATTCGTCATCCTGAACCTTCTGGTTCTTAACTGTTTTTCAGAGAGGGCCATCAGGCACCTCTACCCATCCTCTCTCTACTGCTTCTGTGTTGGTCACTCATTCAATGCTAAGCCCTTAATACTTTGTTATCTCCACCACTGCTTGATGGGGATTCATCTTACTTCTTGAGGTAGACTACAGGTTCACTGGGGATGGGGGCAGGCTGCCTGGCATGGTTGGTGCTGTATTCATAAAGCTGAAGCTCAAAATAGGTACCAGCCCAGGGATGAGCTGACTGATTGGAGGAGACTTTGCTCATCCCCTTTCAGATGCTGGTAAATGAGACAGTTCTCTGAAGCCAATGGCACTCGGCACATTCCACTGTGATGTAGCTGTTGCTGGGGGAAAGGACGAGAAAGAAGAAGAAATGGAGGAGGTAGAGGAGGTGTGAGGGGGAGAGGACACGTTGCTTCTTGCTTGGCCTACAGTAGGTTAAATGGAGACACGTAAAACAGAGACACGTGGGGGAATTGATGTGATCCACACAGGAAGTCACCCTACTCCCTGATTCTTCTCTCCAGAACTGCAAACACCCCCAAACAAGGCTACACCCACAGATCCTTCACTCGTGCCCCAAAACATGGCTGTTGCAATGACAAAGACTATGTCCAAAGGGGAAAAGTGCCACCCCCTGTCCTGTGCCCCCATTTGTATCTGTGTGGTGACCAGAGACTAGAACCCCCACGCCCACAGCATAAAACCCACTGAGGCTGGTCCCTCAAACTAACTGCTCACAAATGCTTGCTTTGTGCTAATTTAATTCTCTATTCCAATTAAGTTATTCTATCTAGAAAGTTCACAGAGCGGTGGACAGCAAATGTCTCCTGTTCATCCACATGGATGATAGACTGTGTCCCCGATTTAGCCCCCCCTAAAAACCCAAGTATTTCAAAATGAACGTACTCCCAAATCCGACTGAAACATTGTAGCTCAGGCCTTCCGCAGCAAAAAGAAGGGAAAAACAGTCATTATTGTAGAACAGCCATTTGAAGCCCCACCTGACCAAACAAACAGCAGCCACAGGAAATTCCCAGCTTTGATTCACCCATTCAACTTCCGTCTTTCTACATAATTCACACAAATGAAAGAGTGAGAAAATTCACCAAGTCATTCTGAGAGGGAGAAAAAAAAAAAACACCAAAGCTTCGGTACATGCACAAAAACAGCAATTTGACTGCACAAATAAATGGCAAATTTGTCTGTCTGTGTTGGAATTCAATGCAGTGGAAGAAAGGCCTTCACAGAAGATGAGGCTCCAACATCATCAAAAGCGGCTGGTACAGAAAGCGCCATTCAAATCCCCGGGACGGCACTCGCCGCTAATTAGTTCTGTGAGGTCTTTTGACATCCAGTTCAAGGAATCTCTGCGAAAAAATTCCAATTTATGAAACACACTCGCAGGCAACCTAAGGCGGCTATTCAGATTTCCACCAAGGAGAACGTGATGTTGTCCACCTCCTCTCCGGTGGCAATTTTCATTTCTCATCCGTACGGCAGCGCAGCCCACGGGAGCCGAGGGAAGAGACCGCTCTGCGCTGAAAGGGTAAGGCACTAAAAATACCCGGACAATGTTCCTTCCAGGGAACCAGGAGGCGGCAGAAAATGATAAATATAAGTTTCCAAACAGCGTCAAGACAAGGCGAAGAACTGATGGGGTCTCCTGAGAGGGGTATTTTACCGGGATAAACGGGATAAGTATAGCTCATTAGAGAGAATCACCACGGCCTCTCACACGTTGGACAACTGTGGTGAGAAAAATCTCCTCAGGAAATTTTTGTTTTCGAGCTACATAAAACCGTTGGGAGGGGGAAGGCAGGAGAAGGTGGCTGTGAAGTACATCTGGGTTGGAGAAATTGTTGGCGCTTCATTTTTAGTACTGGTGATTAAACTGAACAAATCTTTGCGTGGTTTTTACATTCCATTTTAGGGCTGATGATTAAATTGCACAAATCTTTGTAAGATCTGATATTCGGTTTTTAGGACTGGTGATTACATTGAACAAATCTTTGTATATTCTCTCATTCGTTTTAGGAGGGAGGGTTACATGGAACAAATCTTGATGATTACCGATAAGAAATGAAACAACTCATGGGCTTTCACAAAGGTTAGCACGCGCGCGCGCGCGCGCGCGCGCACGCACACACACACACACACACACACACACACACACAGTGGACAGCTTGAGAATTTAGGCTACGTAAACTTCAGTGCACCACTCACAAGATTCCTAAAATTCACTGTATATTTTGAGTTTGTCCCTTCTATGGACCTGCCATGGACCATGTTTCTCAATTTGAAACATCTGTGGGTTGTTTCTCAATAGCCTTCAAATCAAAGGGCCTCAAACAGGCAGAATCTTCTTGCAAATTGTGCCAGACAGTTCTTTTTAAAAGTGAACAGAATCCTAAAGAAGAAGAAAGCCACACCACTGTTCACAAGTTCCTGCTTACCTGGAAGACTCCACAAACCAGAAACTTCCAGAGTTCTTAGTTTCTTCTCCAGCTCTGCCACTCGATTCCCTAGGATTCTGGAAACGGCAGGAAAATATTAAGAGGAGAATGAGTCACATGTCAGGGCTTAGGCCTAGGTAGTAGTAAATGGGGAGGTCAGCACATTTAAGAACAGTGCTAAAAACAGAGCAAGTGTGCTCATGTGCACACGACACACAGTCTATTGAAAGTTCATGTGGAACTTGAAAATAAATAGAAAATAAAATTTCTCTCTCCCTCCCCCATCTCTCTCTCTCTCTCTCTCTCTCTCTCTCTCTCTCTCTCTCTCTCTCACACACACACACACACACACACACACACACACACACACACACACACACATATGCTTCGATTGAGTTCTGTTCCACAAGGCAATTCCCTGGAGGCTGAACAAATATTTCCTCACTGTCCAAGACACTGCAAGGAATTTCCATATGAGAATTGTTCACTGCTAAAGATGACAATTGATTTTGAATGCCCTTTAGTGGCAGCGACCCTCATTCTGTGAGAGTAGGTAACATAGAGGGCCACACTTGGAAATGTTTCTTCTGAGGCAATAAAGTAATAAGATCAGTTTTTGAAGACTCATACTAGGTGTTACTGATGCCCATGCCCTAGACATCAAGAACAATGTCTGATACCATGTAGGTGGCCAATAAATGTGTGTAATTAAACACAGGCTTTTTCTTTTTTTGTAATCTGCGATCATCTATGGTAAAAGTGAATAACAAGAATTTCAAAAGAGTTTTCAGTGGGACTATGGGATGGCTCTGCAGGTAAAGGCATCATCTGTCAGCAAGCTTGACAATCCAAGTTCCATCCCCAGGACCTACATGATGGAAGGAGAGAACTGACTCCTACCTCCACACACTAGACATGGCACATGTGCACCTGCCCCCAACACATGTAAGTAAATGAATCTCAAAAAGAATTTTAAAAATAATTTTCAGTGATTTGGGAATCACCAGGATAATGAGATTGCTTTCCAAATGGCCATTTGGACTCACTGGGATATCTAAGTTCTGAAACGTGCACTAGAGAAGATCAGACTGTGAGCTCGGAGGGCAGGCTTTGTGTGCATGAAAGGTAAACATCTGTTCATCCGCTCCAGACATTAAACATAGCTGAGACATGATTGACAGTCATCTAAAATCTTGCTTTCCAGTGGTCTAGAATTGGAAACCAGTCTTTATTTTTATTTGGAGGATTTTCTTGGCACTGCTGTGCTGAAATGACACGAAAATCTCCTTAATAGCAAATTCTCGATTCCTTTCAGTGGGGAAAAATTAGAGCAGCAGAATTATTCTCCTACGTCTCTTTTCTATTCCAGAGATAGCTGCACACACCCACATACACTCAGCACCATGAATATGCATTTAGCTGTACATATATACAGCTCGGTTCATCCTGATTTTACCTGAATCGACCTGCGGCATCTTAATCCTCCCTTTTAGTTCACAGGGAAAGTGGCGTTGCTCTTCCTGGTTTCCTTCATCTAGTGACCACAGCTCATCTTTCTCTCTTTTCCTCAAGTCTTGCACTCTGCACAGTGCTCCTCATCTACTTCCAGTTTTGCACCATCTGTTGGGTCTGTTTTGCTTTCACCCCCTTGACCCTCCCGTAGACACTGTTGTTCCTAACACCATTGTTCCTAACCTGCCTTTCGGTATTTTGCCTAGAGCTTCTGATCCCACCTCCCTTCCTCACAGTTGATGGGTCTGACATGCAATCACAACAGTGCTCGTGCTTGTTTCTTAATGAGATAAGATTGCATGTCTGCAGCTGCCTCTTAGGACAGAAGCTAAGGCTTCACTACTCCTCAGTGATGCTGAGGGGTGCTCCGAGCTGGGTTTATAGGGAGAGTACAGGTTTTGCTCATGATGTTTCTGGATTACCCAGCCATTTCTCCCAGAAATGGGATGAGTGGAGTGGCCGGTACCTCCCTATCCCCCCCCCCCCACACACACACATTCTACTTCCAGGGATCCCGCTCGAGTTTGTCACTGGTAGAGGTAGCTGTGTTCTTTGGCCTGATACCAGCACCTGGATTGTAGGGCTGGGGGTAATGAAGGATCTGGAGAGAAGCTGTAGGTATGGCAACAGCAGCCACAGAACCATCAGTATTAGTGACTGCAACTCCTTAAGAATCTGTGCTCACACAACTATGGATCTAGCCACAGGTGATGTACAAAATTCAACCCAAGATGCGTTGCGTGACTGGCAGGGATCTCCTTCCTGGCCTCACACAGCGACTCAGGCGGGGGTTGTGTGAGCTGGTATGAGAGGCTGTGAGAGCCGCAGTGGCTAGCAGATCTCAGGATGCAGAGAAGGGTAAGAACAAATGTAGCTCAGGAAGTCTGACCAATCCGAAACCAGCTCCTGAGATCCACCTCTGTGCTACAGGCTGGAGGGGAAACTGAAAGGAGAGGTCCCTACCCCTATTCCTGGAGGCCAATAGTCTGTTAGTAGACACACATGCACAATGGTTAGGGAACCTAAGGACAGCTGATACGTATCCAGCATTTGTTCCTAGCCAGGTGTTATGCCCTTGAACATATACACTGCCCTGTTTTTTGGTTTTGTTTTGTTTTGTTTTGTTTTGTTTTTCCCTGTTTTTTGTTTTTCTTCAACATCTGGCTAGGTAGTCCTTGATTTACAGATGAGAAACTTGAAGCTCACAGAAGACAATGACTAACTCAAGGTCACACAGCTGGTAATCAGAGGGACTAGATTAAAAACTAAGCCTGAAAACTCACAAATCTAATAAAAGCTGAGAGCAAAATCGAGGAGCTATGAGGAAGGGAGAACCAGAGAGGCTGGTCGGGCCTCTGAGGGAGAAGGAGCCTGTGGCCGTGCTGAGAACACTCAGACTTTCGATCTCAAGTTCTGGGGAGCTACTGAGGTCTTCTAAGCACCTGAGAGAAGTTTAGGAAGTGGTCCTCACCTGAAGTGGAGCACAGACAAGGATTAGGAGTAGAGGCAGAAATTCCACTTGGTCAGAAATCAGCCAGGAAGGTGAAGATGTGCCCAACAACCAGTGGGGATGCAGGGAAGCCAAGGAACGGGGCCACGAGGAGGAAGGGGAGGAGCTGAGGCCGCATTAAAGATGCACGACCACAGGGCAACTCGTGGAATAGGCATGGGGCCAGGCAGGAGATCTACTCTTGCCAGTGGAGTGAGGCTTGAACCAGAGGCTGCAAGATGGGCTGTGACAAGGAAAGGAGCAGGGACAAGCCAGAGCCCGGGCGCCACTGGGAGAGAAGTGCTAATGGGAAGAGTCTGCTCCTTTCAAGAGGTGCATGAAAGATGTGAGCTATCCTATGGGGGGAGGGTGTCAGGAGGATGAAGGGAACCCTGGTTCCCCAATGAGAAGCTAAGACAGATAAGCAGACAGGAAGGGAGATGGGTGTGCCGGAAGACAGCCAGTAGCACACAGATGCAGGCAGGGCAGGAGGTGGAGGCACACACAGGCTTGGGAGAGCAGGGTTTTCGTGCGGGTAGGATGGGAGAGTTTGTTTGTCTTGTTTTTAAAGTAGTTACAGGTCGTTTTCAGATATAGTAGAGATTTTGGTATATACTCCCCCCCCCCCCACACACACACACATGCCCTTTCCCTTAGTTTAAGAAAATCCTCCAGATGTCAGGCCCCCATACTGACTTCGCAGCATGGCTTCTGATGACATCCCTGGGAATAAGATCAGAAATCAGCAAAGAGAACCCAGGAGCTGGCCGATCTGGTAGAATTTCCAGGGGAGGGTCCAGACAAAGGCCCCCTCGGCCTGAAGGGGAAGCTGTGGCTCTCTGCACTCCCTGGCATAACCCACCTGAGGCACTTAGAAACTCTGCGGTGATCCAGGACCTCACTATTCCATGAGATTTAGACACCTTCCCAGCTCATTTACCATCCGCTAGGGAAGCAGGAAAGGTGTGTTACTGAATCTGCTGCTTGGCAAGGACAGGTGGTACTTCAACAACCATCTCCTCTCCTTGTGGCATCCACCTTTTAGGGAAGGGAGCCTCCTCCCGTCTTTAGTGCTAACTAGGTAATGGCTAATGCATCATCATGAAGCAGAGCCAACAAATGGCCAAGCCACTGAGCATCACTCAAACCTAAAGTCCCATGGTGCTTAGCAGTCATCAAGATGGTCCCCCCAGGACCCTCTGCCTGAAGGGGGCCATTGTCAAAGAGTGGAAAAAGCCAGTAGCCAGAGCATGAGCTTCCAGAATGGAAGGTCGTCAGTCCTGAGGTACTACCTCACCTTAATAAAGCTGTTTTGCTTTGTTTTTGTTTCTGTTTTGTTATAAGGCTAAATCATGAGGGGTACCAGGGAGCTGACCAAACTCTCATTCTGTTCTCAGCCCTTCATCTATAGGACAGTTTACTTCTTTATACACCTCCAGGGACTATGAAACTGAAGGCCTTCAAAGACCAAACACGGCAATTGAGCACTCCTTCGTGTACCAATATGATGCTACCTCCATGACCTGCTGTTCCAGGGGAGAAAGGCAAGCCAAGGAATAAAGGCACCGAGGGTGCTCCTCCCTTTTCTGTGAGAAAGAACAGCTGCTTTTTTGTTTTAAAAAAATCCAGGAATATATGAATACTTAGGTGCGTTTTCATATACGGTACCTTTGTTTGCATGATTCGAAGGTCACATGGTACACAAGAAAAGGTGACTTCTCCCAAGGAGGGGGTTTGGACAGCTAAGATGTGTGGAGACCCATGGTTGTTTAACCGTGGCTCAAAAAACTATTTTAAAAAGAGTAAATGTGCAAAGGAGTGCTCAAAAAGCAAACAAAATAACAACAAAAAAGCCCATGAGGAATGGAAATGTCAGCCTCCACAGAGGGAGAAAGTGGTTTGCATCTGGGGCCTACGCCTATCGCAGTGGGGTTCAAAGGAGCCCAGAGCCCCTGGCCAAATGTCTCTCAGGAATGAGAAGCAGGCTCACTTCAGGCTTCGGGGGATCCCCGAAGACCGCCCTCCCCCATCAGATTCCCACCCGTGCTTCCTGAGAAGTAGCTAGCTGCAGTTCAGCATGGCTGTTTCATTTTGCAAGGCTGTTGCAAACATCTCCTGTCAATAAATTACCCTGTCATCCGGGGAGATTGCCGGCCTCCCTTTGATGCTCTTGCTTTCTCCCACATACATCTTCATCTCTGGTACGGTCCTCTCCGCACTCCATCATTTCCCTTTTCTCTTGTGTTTTTATAACACGTTCAATCATTTTCCTGTGCCCTCTTCCCTGCGTGTCCCCGCCTTGGGCAGTCCCAACTCTCAGGTCCCTCCCCTCTAACATCTGTTCTTGCTCCATTCTTCTGCAGTGCCATTGTGGCTCTGAGTGTGAGTCTGAGCAGCAGGACCATCTACAATTTTCAGGGTTCTGTGCAAAATAAAAATGTGTCCTCCCCCACCCCACCCCCCGGGGGAAAAAAACATCATGAACTTCAGGATGGTGGTAACAGTATCTGGCCAAATGGCAAATCCTTCTTTGTGTAGATCGCATGCCACAAAACTGGCCCTGCTGTGATTGAAATGCACTCCCGTGTTAGAAGCTAAATTTCCAAGCTCATAGGTCAATGCTAATCACCTTTAGGAGGTGGTTAGGATGAGATGATGTCAGGAGGGTGAGGGCCCCACCATAGCATCAGTGGGTTTATGAGAAGGCTGTCCAGGTAAGCATGCTTGCCATATCTGACCATGTGGTACCTGGGTCATATTCAGATGTGGCATGAAGGCCATCACCAGACATAGTGGCATGCTCTTGAACTGGGCCTCCTGACATGTGAGAAGGGAACTTCTTATTTTTAAAAATATTCATAAATTACCTAGTCTTGGATACTCAGTTTCAGGAACAGAAAATGGACTGGTGTGTGCAATATTTATTGCTTTAATTTACTGTTCTTACTCACCATTCTCAGGACATTTTCAGCTTGGCTCTGTTGCTTCTGACCACTATTTTAAACCACCTTAACTTGCTCAATTTGACACAACATAATCAACACTCATTAAAAATCAAACAGGGTGCTCCATCTCATTGACCTTTCCTTTTCAACATCTTTCCTCCGTTATCCAACAGAGTGACAGGAAGTTCCCCCACAGGGACAGCAGCCCATAGCAGCTGACAATGGTGTTCATGGTCATCAGAGACCCTCAGAGTCAAGTTATGGCATTGAAGGGACACTAGGCAGCTCCCACCTCAAAAGGAGAGCTAAGGAAGAGGCAAGAGATCTGGCCTTCTCCTGTGGGAACTACCATGAAACTGGTGTTAATAGGGGACAGCTCAGAGGACATGCTCACTAAGAAATCAAGATTCCTGCTTCATTGACTCTGGTGGATAACCTGGATGCGCGATGCAAAGTATAAGCATAGTTCTGGTTTCATGGGGTTTACCCCCCAAACCCCCAGATTTCAGGGTTCGGGGATGTTACCTTCTTCCCAGAGTGCTTGTGGTTTACCTCGGGGAGCCTCATTCCCACTCTCCTACCCCCCGAGTCTAAGGACCCACTACATACCTGTTGGTTTGTCTCTGGTGCTGAATGACCATGTTTTTCTCATGGATCGTCTCCAGCAGGGCCGTGGCCAGAGACTTCAGGTCGGCAATGGACTGCGGAGTAGCTGGGAGGCTGCACCCGTGATCTTCAGAGAGCAGATCCTGGACTAGGGAGGACACCGAGTTGACAAGTCAGTCATGGATTCTGAAACACAGGGCTGCAAACCCAGGTCAGTTCTTCCCGGATAACGGGGGTCCCGAGCTCAGACATGATACTGTGTTTTACCGAGAGTCTATCCCAACTACTGCAAGGAGAACGACAGAAAACTCAGTGTGGGGCTAAGTAGGAAGGCCTCAAGGAAGTTCTTCTTTCCATCAAGCCGGGATGGAACCCCGGGCTGTCCTGCTACGCAGTGGCTCGCTCATTGAACCACACTCACATCCAGCCATCTGCAGCCTGTTCGGAGATTAACAACATTTTCACTTGCCAGTGTGTGTAGACATTTTTATGCTAATTCACTGAGACTCTGAACTGGGGGGGGAAAAAGACCCCAAACCCAGCAAGTGTTATTTATTTCCATTGTGTTAACAATAAAGCAAGTCTCAGATGGGTTAAAAACACTTGTTCAAGGTCATACTGCCCAGCAAATGACAATACTTCCCTGCCCTTCAGGTGCTCTGATTATGGTAAAAGTAATATACCACTTTAAAGGGGTAAATCAATGGGGAGAAAACACAAGTGATTGCCACCCTGGTACTCCTCCTGACCATGAAAAAACCACTGCTGTCCCGAATATCATTTCCTGTGTTACTATATGTATGTATACAAATTCATTCACTATTATTCTAAAATGGGAAAAATACTACTTTCTCACCTAACAACATTCCATCCCAATAATATCCCCTAGAACATAAATGTGAACCCTCACTTTAATACTCTATCTAGGTTTTTAAAAATTCCTCTAGCTATTGCTAGATATTTACGTCATTTGCAGTTGAATGTATGAAGGAATTTCTTATAGCAAAAGTTCATATGTGTCTGGTTTATTTCTCGCTAGTTCTTGCTAGGGGATCTGTTTAGGTTTTTCCTAATGGATTGCCTCGCTCCTACCTTTTGATTACCAATCCCATAGATCATGTTAGTAAGCTTCTCTCTTAGGTTTTTCTAGAAGACTTGAGTCAGTGGGTAACTCTGCCTGTGGTGTTTGAATACGCCTGGCACTTGAGACATAAGAGGTGGGACCTGGGTCCAGACTCAAAGCTGGTTTCCAGGTATGGTATCCAGGACTAACCATGCATGGGTTTTTTCCCCCTCTCTGTCTATTTCTCTGTTTCTCTGTTTCTCTCTCTCTCTCTCTCTCTCTCTCTCTCTCTCTCTCTCTGTTTATGCATATCTACATGTTCATGTGTGTGCATGCATGTGTGGGTTTATGTGGAGGCTATATATTGACATCAGTGTTTTCCTTAATCTCTCTCTCTCCTTTTTATTTTTGACTCAAGGCCTCGTTAGGCAGCCCTAGCTAGCCTAGAACTTGATATGTAGACCAGGATGGCCTCCAATTCCTAGAGATATCTGCCTGCCTCTGCCTCCAGAGTGCTGAGATAAAAGGCACTATGCCTGCACAACTTTATTTTTTTGAGACAAGGTCTCTCTCTGAGCGTGGAGCTCACCAATTAGGCTATGAGAGGCCTGGTCAGAGAGCACCAATGATCCTCTCACCTCGTACTCGCCAGTGCTAGGATTACTAGTGTGCACCACCACAACCAGATTTTTACGTGGGTGCTGGGGACCTGAACTCAGGTCCTCATGCTTACATGGCAGACACTTCACCTGCTGAGCCACCTAGAGGGGCTTTTCCACATTTTTATAGGGTGCTATAGGTTTCCATTCAAAAACACTTCTAGGATGTTCATTTCTAGTTGAGTGGGGGAAAAGAAGTTGCTTGGGAAAGAACCTTGATTGTTGACTCCACTGCAGATGCTATGTTTTTTAAAGCTAGTTCTGATTAAGACTGGGCCATGATAGCTGCTGGTCCACACTGTCAGCATCTGAGAAGCCAGCCAGTGCAACCTAGGCTTACGTCGAGAACTGGCTGCAAAATATGAAGTACCAGACTCAAGCTTCCTGCTATTTCTTCCCCCAGACTGCTCCCGGAAGATCATTATTTTTCATTGGAATCGACAGGAAGGGGGAACAAAGCTGCAATCAATAAAAGCTTCTTTGGAAACGGCATGCGTTCCCATGATCCATCGTGCAATGATCTATGCAGCAGGGGGCTTTTCCGTTATGTCTGCGGAGGCCAGGAGAAATACACTTCAGGAGGCTGGGCATCTAGAGCCTCTCAGGTGGTGATGGGGAAGGAAAAACATTCTCAAGAGGGTCCAGTCATTGAAGAAACTCGGAGGTGATCGTTCTTAAAGTGGGGTCCCCCACTACAGCAGCATGGCCTGGGGACCCTGCAGATGTAGATCCTCAGGTCCCACCCCCAACACCTGTCAAACCCAAAACCTGGGTAGGGGGTAATCTGGGTTGGAAGGACTCAGGCAATCCTGCTGCAAGTGGCAGTTGGGTGCCACTGTTTTCTGCCTCACAAACCCAGAGGCTTGGATGGGACATGGACTACAGCTCTCTGCTCAGAAATTGGTCCAACCTGGACATTAACTCCTACCTTGCTTCGCAGACAGGACCCCAGTCAGAGCGCTACTGCTGGACTTGCCTTGGCTCTTGGAGTTTTTCCGTCTCTCGAGAGCATTCTGCAACAGCAATAGAAAAACCAAAAACCTTGTCAGGAAAGACAGCGATGGAAAAATACTTTGTTAAGGAGATATACCCCGTGTACTCACAAGATCACTGGCAGACTCCAAATGTAGCCTAAAACATAGAACTCTCAATCCTTGGGATTTTAAAAGACTCCATATAGAGAGCCTGATTGGTTTTTAAGTTACTGCAAAGGAGAAAGGCAGTAACTGTAGTCTCTTATCTAACATGTAGAGAGTTTGTTATGGAAATCACTTTAGAACAGACATGAGATGAAGACTACATTTGCTTTCATGTACCAATGGTGGTATTTGGAAAGATATGATGTTTGGATTGTAAAAGGATCATGGTCAGTTAGTGATGTCTGCCTTGGACACAGGATTAAGTACACATGTTGCTATGGTCATTCTTAGAATGGACTCTTGTCTTCACACTGATGTATAGTAGTCAGCCATTGTTTCGAATATGAACACGATACATGACACAGGAAAGGATGCATATGGTTATAAATGCATATACTAAAAAGCACATACTTCCTTCTTCATGTTTATATACAGATTGATGTAAACGAGAGTGTGGCTTCCACCAAATGGAAAGCCATGGTTACCTCTGAGGACAAAGCCAATGTCAACAACCAGGACAATGAGCCAGCTCTCCCTAGAATTCTGTTGGCTATAAAACTTCCGCAGCGGGAAGAACCATCAATCTATTTTCAAAGCAGAGAGTCCCAGGAGAGTTTTCCAATTATAACACTTACAACTAACACTGCAGAAATAGATATTATCCAACCAATGGAGTTGGAATTGGACTAAACAACAGTGAGGCAAATTCAAACACTCTCCCCTCTCTGTGTGCCTCAAACTTTAGCATTTGGGTTGTGATGCTCCATCCTTGCTTCTTCTCCCACAGAAGCTATTTTCTTGGGGATAATTATGAGATAAACAGCATCTGACAACTAGACATTTCATAGAGGAAGCGGAGAGGACCCCTGAGGTCAAAAGGCTGAGGCTCCAAGGTGGAAGCACATAGGAGTTCCCAGGATGCCCTGTCCAGACTATAGACATAGAAACAGATACGGGGGTGGGGTGGGGGACATGGCGTTGGGAGTTGACCTTTTTGTGGTTGGTTTCACTGGCTATTCCAATTAGGGGTCTTACTGGACTCCATTTGGGAGGACAGGAAAGGGATGGGATGTCTTTAAAACATAAGAGGGAATGAAAACAGGCTGACAGGCAGATGCTGAGTGGAGAATCACAGGCTTGGTCTTGATTGTGTTACCTTGTATTTGGCAATGTTTGACTTCAGAAGGCTGACCTCCTCATGGAGTTGTTTCAATCTCTCTTGGAGATATCTAGAAGAAAAAAAAATTCACATAACCAGGATGGGCATGGGGGAGGAATGAAGCCCACTGAATGATAAGAGCAAAACATGAAGCCCAGGTGTCATTTGTATGTAACGACTTCTTTCTCATCCTGGAGGGCAGGGGCAGGGAAATGTGACCTTTTATGAAACGGATTCGATCAAGGTCAGACATGCCCGAAGCACAGACACCCCATTTTAAAAACAGCCCTCTCGGAGATCCCCTAAGGGACAACAACATCCTTTTCATATAATTCTCATTAAGTGATTCCACCAGGGAGCAAACCAGGAAGAGAAGACGCCAGCCATAACACGAGTCAGACACATCCACACGCTGAAATGTGCCTGGGGGGGAAGACACAGCTAAGGGAATTTCTCCATTTATTTTCTTATTCTTTCTCCTCTCCTTGACAGCAATCACAAACAACTCTTCCTGGTTCTTCACCCTCGTGGCCCAAACAGAGGTGTGGGAGCGAGGGAGGCTGGATAAGTGGGCGTCTCTCCCTTCTCTTCTTACTTTTGTAACCAGTCCATGCCACTGCCAATATTTGGGATCTGTGACTTGCTCTTTATTCCCATCGCAGCTGTCTCAAGTGCAGGCAGGGCTGCAGGAACCCCCAGACTGCCTCCCTCAGCTGCACTCACCTGTTCTCCATGCACAGAGCATCCACATCAATGATACGGTTCTCGTGACCACCCAGGATGTGGTTGAGCTCCTGGTTCAGCCTGTCCACTTTGTCCTGGTAGGAAGCCCGTTCTTCCTTAACATCCTGGAGTTCATCCACCGAGGCCTGCAGGTCATGTTCTAAGGACTCGATCTGAAATCCAAGGAGTGTCACAGTGGTCCTCAAACGTGGGCTTTTGGGTCAGGGGTTAGCTTCCACTAGACTGGCTGACTTGGAGAGCTTATGGATACTGATCATGTGTTAGTTATCCACACTGCACTGCAGGCTGGGTAAGGGCTGGAGCTATGGAACACTTTCCCCCCAGACACTTAGCATGGGTGGGACAGATGAGCCTGATCTCCAACCCCTGCACATTGCTCCCATTCACAGGCATGGAAAGAGCAGGCTGATTCTAGAGTCTTACAGATGCTTGCTGTTCCAAGCCAATAAAACCTGGGCATCCTGTGCTCAGTTAGCTCGAGAAGAGAAAAGGGAGTCCTTGCTCCTGTAGCTGCTTCCCAAGCACAGCTCTGTGCCTTCTGAAATCTCTCCCACAAAGCATCACTTAGCATCTTAGTGGGAACTCGTAAGTTAAAGGGCAGTTTCTCACTTTTCCTGCCCACTGCCTATGTGGGTGGCTGGCGGCAAGTCTCTTGGTGTGCTCAGAACAATGGACAATCAGTGCTGGATACCCCCGGCTAGGGGTCACACACTCAGCATGAACCTAGCAAGAGCCGAGGAAGTCTAGCCCTCTCGGCATCCCCTGGCCTCCTCTTGTTCATGGACACACAAGCATATGTTCCCTGCTTCCTGTTAGGAGGGGCCGTGGGAGCATGTGTGTCCTACTTCCTGTGAGGAGGGGCCATGGGAGCATGTGTGTCCTGATTCCTCTTGTGAGGCCACCCACAACAGAGCTCAGCAGTCACCTGTTCCTTAGCTCGCTCCAGCTGCTCCACCAAATCCTCTCGCTCATGGGCTGCGAAATGCCTCCTGCCAATTTCTTCATCTCCGAGCCTTTGCTTGGCAATTGTCATCCTCAACAGCTGCATTTCCCATTATCAGAACAGAAAGGCAAAGGAAGAGAGAAAGAATATGAATGAGTACATCTCCCCAAACCTCAAGGACCTATATAGAAATGTCTGGAAGAATAAAACTCTTGCAGGAACTACTGGAAGAAAGTAAAGGACAAACGACTTGCCAATATTATGAAGTTTTAAGAAAGAGAAAATTTCTGTAACAATTTGTGCTTGTTAATACACATGCGCAGACATCCAGGGTAACACTGGGGTACCCAGGCTCGACCCTGGAAGGTGGATGTGCTATGGGGCACTGCCACAGTGAGGAAAAACATCTTGAGCCTCATTTAGACTTAGCGAAGATCCAGAATTACCCCCTACGGCTGGTTAGGATCTGCTGAGATGGACACACCCCACATTGAACCCCTAGGCCATGCTATCAAGAACTTTAAAAATGCTATTCAATGTCTAGTAAATGCTTCTGTCAATGTGGTCTGTGAATGATCCCAGGTGTGGACTAGCTTATCGAGAAGACAAGTAGAGTGCACTGAAGAACACAAGTCTTGCCTGCACTATGACCAAGTATATGCTAAGAACTTATGTGTGAGAGAATGCATAAAGAGACCAAATACATCAAGTACTCAGATAGGTGTGTTTGGGGATATGGATACTGTGCATACTGTCTTCCTAGCTCCCACCTCCCAGGTAAGGCCACAGCAGGAATTATGGGAGAGGTCCCAGGATGAACCCATAGTCTCAGAACATCTATGCCTGCCCATCACAACGTTCTTATCCTAAAAAGGTTCACCATGCACTGACTTCTCCCTATGGATGTATGTGGATACATACCCATGAAGCCCCAGGAACACATTGCTCCTATCATGTGGGTATGACAGCCCAGCATAGCTCACTGTGAGCATGCTCTTTCTTGCTTCTGCTTGAGCCTTAGAATGGTGACCAGTACAAGGGCCTAAACTTCAGCATTTCTGAAGGATTTGGGTCAGGTGATCGACAGAAAGTTAATTTAAGCCAAGGCAGAATTACCTAATTCAAGTTATAACAGCAATGAACTTGAAAAGAAATGAATACTGTAGAAATGCAGACAGGATGCAATGACCCTTCACCGCTCCATTGAATCTCACAATGTCTGTTGTGTGCCACGGGCCACAGCCTGGCAGAGGATAGAGGATACTCACACACAGAACTGCATTCTTAATGGAATCTGCTAAGTCTATCCTTGGAGTTCACAGCTCATGGATTTGTGGGTTTCCCTACTCCATGCAACTTACTTGTTTTCACCCCCAAATCCATGTTCAAAGTCTTCCAGTGTCATTCACAGAGTGAGAAAAATGTGAAGGCCAGACGTTCAGCCCACCTTCTGCCTCCCTGCCTCACACTATGGATGGCCTGTCTGTGGCCTGCTTGGTGCTGAGTGCCCACATTTTTATTTTTCTTTGATGACTTTGGTGGTTTTATAAAAGTCACATACTTGTGGGACTCAGTGTGTTGCCTACAGGCATGTATATACTGTATGATGGTCATGGCAGGGTAGTTAATACAGACTTCACTTTCCACGTTTATCATTTATCATGGAACTCTTTGGAAGCTAACTGTTCTGCAATACACAGTGCACGGTGCCAATTGACCATAGTCACCTACTGCGCAATAAAGTGTGGCACTTAATCCTTCCAAAGTGTGGCTGTGTCAGGATGCTGACACCTGTGCTCTCCCATGCCACCTCACTCTCAGAGAAACACTGTTCTCTATGCTACTCGGTCCTGTTCGCTTTTCTGTTTCTGTGATAAACCACTCTGGCCAAAAGCGACTTGGGGAGGGAAGGGTTGGGCTTGGTTTACACTTCCAGGCCACAGCCCATCCCTGAGGGAAACTGGGTCAGAAACTCAAGCAAGAACTGCAGGAAGCAAAACCGGAGCTACTGACTGCCTTGCTCCTGGCTCATGCTGAGCTAGCTGTCTCAGGTAACCCAGATGCAACTGCCCAGGGATGGTGCTCTCTCCCAGCCCCACCCCAGTGGGCTGAGCCCTCCCACATCAATCAAGATAACCTCTCACAGACATGGCCACCGGCCAATCTGATGGAGGCAATTCTTCAGGTAAGGGGCTCTCTTTCCAGGTGATTAAAGGTTGTGTTAAGTTGACAATAAAAACTAGCTAGTGCACCATCTCTGTGAAAAACCCTTTTAAGAGTCTGGATATGAATGTGATCATGTGGTAATTGTCTTTCTGTGCTTTCTTTATCCTTCCTTCCTTCCTTCCTTCCTTCCTTCCTTCCTTCCTTCCTTCCTTCCTTCCTTCCTTTCTTTCTTTCTTTTGCTAGCACGATGTCTTCTGGATTTCATCCATTATGAAGACAGAATGGTATCCCACTGGGTACATGTACCATATCTTCTTTATCCAGTCCATTGATAGACACTTAGGTTGACATCATGCTGTAGTTAGCCCGAGTAGCACATCAAGGAACGTGGGCATGCAGGCATCTTTTCAATACACTGATTTTATTCCTTTGAATCCATACCCGGCAGTGCAACTGCTATAGTTTGCTGTACATATATAACATTTTATTTATTTATAATTTGAAGTGCTACAGAATTTCCTCCCATGGCTCTACTAATCTACACTCCCATTGGCAGTGTGGAAAAGGTCTCCTGACAACGGATTCATGCATACTGCCTGGATGCTGTCTAGTGTCTCTGAGTACAAGAAGGAAGGTTGTGATGTGCCTCATCGGGAAAATTTGTGAATTAAGGCAGCTCCCTCTGAGTCTAAGTTAAAGAATGGGTAAGCCTTTTAGTTCAGTGCTGATAAATTAAACATCTCTGTTAAATAAGTTCACATTAAATGGAAGCATACAGAAAACATAGTTGTGTTAAGTGTTGGCATGGTAGCTGTGGCAGAGGCTGGCAGGAGCCTCCCCACTTTTCCGGGGACCAGACGGCCAGTTCTCTCACACTCAGTGTCGAAGTGGCCTCGTGGAGCACATGGACAGCAGAAGTGGTTGATTCAAGTAAGAGCCTGAATGTGAAACATCTTCCCTGTCACCTGGTCCTTGGCTCAGGACAACAGGATTCTGAAAAGCACATCCCCAAAGATACACAGCGAAGCTGAGAAGCAGCGTTTGTCAAACCCCAGAGGCTGGATCAGAAGCACACAGGCTTTTGGCAGGAGACCACAGGAGACTGAGGCTGTGTCTTGAAAACTTGAGCCTTCCTCTGACATGTAACATGTTAGACAGACAGCCTGAGCTAGATGTAAAGAAACCTCAATTTCCAGTCACAACTGGCCTCATTGCACATTTCACTGAAGAGTCATATGATTATGTTTGTTCAGTGCCAATTAATTACTACACACGCCTAGTGAGGCCCAACCCCACACAACAGAGCCATCTTCACACTGGATGCTAGTTAAATGTCAATCAACATGTTAGCTATCATTTGGTGTTTAATGTGCAGATAATATTGCTCCCACACTGCAGGGCTGAGCTGGTTGAAACACTTTTAAATGGAAGCTCAAGTTGGGTCTGAAATTTAAATTCAGTCAGCAGAAGGGACCTGATGAGACTATCACTGTAGCTACATAGAGGCCAGGGCATCAAGCCTGCCTTCTACAAGGACAGCTCATAGGCTCTAGGGTCACCTGCCTAGGGCTTCCCACACTCACTCCCCAAGAATGAGCAATTCTCCAGGCCTCTATATCTCTCTGCTAAGAGCACAGCATGAAACAAGAGAGAGCGTGGAGGCAAGTCAAGGAATACTGGGTTAGAGGTCACATAGGTGAAGAAGAGAAGTCATTCTAAAAACGGAGTGACTCCCCTTATGCGGAGAGCGATTGCATTTATGTGTTCAATGTACATATACTCCATTTTCCCAGCTATATATGCAAAGTTGTAGTGTTTGCAGTCATCAATAACATTACAGTTTGGAAGCATGCATGCAACTGTTTGCCCTGGACTGTGTGTGAGATTTAAGGACCATCCAGGTAATCTGAGCTTGCCCCATGATGATGACAGCCATGGCCATGAAGAACGGAAGGTGTTCTTCTTTCTCTACAACATTAGCTTAGTCCAGGAGCAGAGAAAGTGTGTGACTAACTATCATCAGCTGCTTGCAGCATGGTTATCCTCATCGCCATCACCTTCATTACCATCATTGCCGTTATGATCGCTGCTGCTGTCATTCACCATCACCACCGCCACCACCACCATCACTTCATCATCATCATCATCATCATCATCATCATCATCATCATCATCATCCATTCAAGAGCTCCTAACAACCACCTGGGGAAATTTGCTGTCTTCAGAGATGGCCGAAGCTGAGCTCCAGACCCAGGCTTACAAGAGAGCATGAGGGGGTGGCTGTCTACCATGGGAAGGGACAATAAGCATTGCTCCCCAACTCTTGCTAGCCTCAAACAGGGCATCACAACGATACAGCTAGTCTCCTAGTGCCAAGAGGACTAGTGTTCTGTCAGCAAGGGACATCACCACTTTCTGATTTAGAGAGAAATAAATGTTTATGAACGAATTATGGACATGAGTCCTTGGCTGGTGTGCAAGGCCCAGCTGCAGCTCAGATGTCGCTGAGGGACAGGGAACAAATCAATGTAGCAGGAAGGCTCCAGGTTCTTCATCAGCTATCCAGGCCCTACCAGGCTTAACTTAGTCCTTGAGTCAGAGAGGCTGAATCCTTCTTGGACCTCTTCCCAGCCCCCCCACCAAGGTCTTTAACATCCGCTAACTTATATATTGTTTCCATTTGCTGGAATCCATTTTATCCAATGGGCATTGGGAGGCAGCCAGGATGGGAACCACTATTATCTGAGTGTTACCTGTGTTCAGATTCTTCTGCTAATCCTAGCTTTGTGCCCTGACAAAGTCACCTAACCTTGCCATGCCACATGTGATTTGTGAATTTAAAATACAAAGATAAGCATGATGTTATAGATACATCAGTGCCGGTGCAAAAGAGTTTGTCTGCTGGGCATGGTGGTGCATGCCTTTAATCCAAGCACCCAGGAGGCAGAAGCAAAGCAGGTGGAGTCTGAGTTTGAGGCCAGACTGGTCTGCAGAGTACGTTCCAGGACAGCCAGAGCTACACAGAGAAACTGGATCTCAAAAAACTAGAAAGAAATAAAAAGTTTGTCACTTATAACAAGATGATGGCCTGTGCTCCACACTTGGGTCTCAAGAAACTGTCATCCACATACTAGGTTGTGTATCAGCTAATGAGCTCCATATTTGGGCCCCAAAAGCAATGTGCTCATAGCTTCCTGCCCACAACAGACACTTGAAGTGGCTTACTCTTACAATGGGATGAGTGCAGAGTCCTTGCTAAGACAGAGAGGCCCACATGACCCTCCTTACCTGCCCCAATGCCATCTCCTGCTACCTTGTGTCTGCACTTCATCCATCCTGTCTGCCGCCTGGTACCCATCCCAGCTCCCAGGCATCTGTACATCCTCTGCCCATAGTCATAGAACTTCCCAGTCATTCCTGTCGTCCTAGTCAAGGCTCAGATTAGAGACTTCCCTAGACATTTCATCTCAGCTAAAGCCATTCCCTCTCTGGGCCCCTGCTTTCCAATGCCTGCCTCTCTGCTCATCTGAGTGTGGCACCTGCCATCAGCTCCACAGTCCCTCCTGAAAACTTCAGAGTCCACAATCCAGTGTCAGGCTCCCTATGGAGAGCTCCAAATGCTTCTCAGATCAGAGCTGCCTCTCTGCATTGCCCCACACTGCCCAGAGGCAGATCCTGATGTCTCCTCCTTACAAAGAGGCAGGATCAATCTGGGTTCTGGTCTCCTTGACCCCTGTCCCCGAACCAGTGCTGTCCAGGGTGCTGAAACATGTTCAACTGGGAGAAGATCCACTTTGTATTCAGCCCATAATGATGGTGCCCAGTTGGGTGAGGGCACAGACCAAGAGAGGCAAGGTCACTGGTTTAAGTCACAAGTCCTAGGAATGGCTGAAGTGGGGTTGGTCCTGGCTGTCAAGGGCTTGTCCTCTGCTGTGGTACTGTTCTGCACCACCCCTGCTCAGGGAAAGCACATGCGCTTCTGCAGAGCCTGTGCTGAGCGCTAGCATGTGTTATAACTTCCCAGTGTAATCCCCAAAAACACCCTAGCTCAGTCCTGCCTCAGGACATTTGTACTTCATCCTCTAGAGAGCTGTCCTCCTTCTTCCAGGTCTCTGTGCCCTGGGCATGTGAGGACAGTACTTCCCAAGTACCCATACCATTAGCCAGCTAGCCTCACGTTCTGCCTAGTCCCCGGCATTGCTGACTTATCCAGACTGTGTCCTATCCAATACACCTTCAACTCTCTGACCCTTAGTATGGAGCACAGATCACAGCCACACTACCCTACTGATATGGCAGAGGTACAATGGTGAAACTCCACTTCCCAGAATCTAGAAAAGGGGACTTGTTTGTTTATTCAGTTGTGGCTCTGCCAAGACTGAAGTCCCATGAAAGTAGGGATTACTTTCTACTGTTTCTTGTGCCATCTCCAGAGCGTATGAGTTACATGAACTGAACCCATGAGCTACGTGAGACCCTACCTCAAAACAAAACAAAATGTCTGCTATGCTCTAGAGAGAACATCTCATTAGGGCACCCCCTTCTGGAGATTAGTCCAACAGACCCCCTCTGTGAAGCGCCCAGGAACAGCTTGCTCGGACACAGCTTTCCCAGCTCTCATCCAAGACCATGACAAACAACCACAGCTAAACATGCTTTCTTTCTTTCTTTCTTTCTTTCTTTCTTTCTTTCTTTCTTTCTTTCTTTCTTTCTTTCTTTCTTTCTTTCCTTTTTAATAAACAAAGTATACTTTAATTGGTCACCTGCTTGCTCATTGGCCTGTCTTTATTGGCTGATGGCTTAAACTTCACTGCTCTGCAGATTCATCCAACCACCCTCCACAACCGGCAGTCACAGAAGGGCTCTGTGGTTTTACGGGGCCAACACCCGATCAAACAGAGGCACTTAGGGCTGCCAGTTGGTGGAAATATAAAGCTTATTATTAAAGGCAAAGCCTGCATTTCTCCATTGTCACAGAGACAGCTGAAAACGCAAGCTTTCTCGCCTCTGCACATGCCATGCTGGTTAGGGGTCTGCTGCCAGCCAAGGACTATGATCTCTAACATGAAGCAAAATGAAAAGCACATAAGAGCCACCACTGCTGTCACTGTCCCACAGGGTCTGGGGGTGGCTGCTGTGGGTGCATCTTCCAGGTGCTCCTTTAATAGGGTGCACAGCACATGAAGAGCTTCCAGAAGCCCTGCATAAAAATGATGCTTGCTGCTAGCCACACCTGGGTGGTGACGAGGGGGCTGAGCTTGCAGGTCCAGCTGCCACGTGGCAGACTTTTCACTTGGATCATGACCTCTCCTGGGGCACATATTAGGGGCCCTGGAAATAGTGGGACCACAGGTGGGAAGTTTGTGACTGCTGATGACCCTCTGGTATGAGGGGATTTTCAAGCAACACTGGCCTATAACATGTTAAAGCTAACAGTACCCTCCCATTCAGAGAGCTTGCTGCACAGTGAGCAGGATGGAGCACATATTCCCTCATTAAATCTCGCCACCCTACTTTCTCATCTTCTCACACTAGACACTGTCTGATGACTTTATGTGTTTTGTTCTGTCTGTCTCCCCAATCAGCCTTTACGTTCCCTAGTGAGGAACTTTGTGTTTCTCAGCCTCTTATGCAATGTTAGCTGCTAGAATACAGGAAGTCACCAGGTGTGGGGGAGTGAACACAGAAAGAAGCCTGACCACCACTGACGGACATTTTACAGATGAGCAGACAGAGACCCCAGAAAATGACTGGATTTCTTCGGACCACTCACACACTGGCACACACTTGGGTCTAAGCATGCCCAAAGATGGGGACTCCTGGGTTGTCTCTGCTGCTGCTCTTCAGCCAGATCCTTCTGGGAAGCGAATCATTCCAAGATCATAGGCATCAGTTTGGTGGTGTGCTGGTTAGTTTTATGTCAACTTGATATAAGCTACAGTCATGCAAAGGGAGGGCACTTTGATTGAGAAAATGCCTCCATAAGACCAGGCTGTAGGCAAGCCTGTAGAATATTTTCTTAACTAATGATTGAGGGGGGAGGGCCCAGACCATTGTGGGTGGTGCCACCCCCAGTCTGGTGGCCCTGGGTTCTATAGGAAAGGCTTCGAAAACCATGAGCAAGCCAGTAAGCAGCACTCCTCCATGGCCTCTGCAACAGCCCCTGCCTCCAAGTTCCTGCCCTGGTTGAGTTCTTGTCCTGACTTCCTTCAGTGATGAACTGTGATGTGATGTATAAGCTGAATAAACCCTTTCCTCCCCTAGTTGCTTTGGCCATAGTGTTCATCACAGCAATAGTGACCCTGACTAAAACAGGTGCCTGATGTTTGCTATGACGTCAGTCCTTCTGCCAAGAAAGCTGGCTGTGTTCCAGAAGCTGGGCTGTCTCTGCCAGAGAGCTGGTGCCAGCTCCCCTCTTAAGACTCAGATAGCCTCTACAAGCTTGCTGTTGAACTTTTAGATCCACAGGGATCCCTTTTCCTGCCACGTTCCATCCCCTTACCCTTCCTTCTATTCCATGTCTAGAAGAAAAGGCAGGCAAAGACCAGGGGTGTAAAGGCCATTCAGAGCAGGCTCAGTGGCTCAGTACAGATGCATGGGGGGGGGGGGAGTCCTTCCCACATAACTGGCTCTTTCCTCTCACAGATGAACACAATGAACACAGATGAACCCTGCATCACCCTCAGAATCTCCCCAAGGTAATGAGTGGAGCCTGGAGACTTTCTTCCCCAGAGTCCTCATTGACCTTTAAACACTGAAATGTCTAATCCCGATGCAGAGGAAGTGAAGACAGGGGGATCCCTGAGCCTTGCTGGCTAGCAAGTTCCAAATTCAGAAAGAGACCCTGTCTCAAAAAAAAAAAAAAATACAAGGAAAGGGATTGAGGAAAACACCTGAAATCAATCCCTAGCCTCCACATATATGCACAAACATGTACAAGCACATACATGCACTTGCAATCACCCACAAATGTGCAAACACATCCATACCAAAAACAAAACAAAACAACAACAACAAAATCCCTGAAATTCTGAGGAAGGAGCAGCTGCAGGCGGGTTTTCAGCTGTCACACCTCTCATCTGGTTTGGGTTGGGAGTTTATATTTATGTGGGTGCATTCTTGCTCCTCTTCCCAATTCTTGAGCAACAGTCAGAGGGAGGTCAGGTAGTGATGAGTTCCGAGTGCTCCCGGACATGTCACAAGATGCCTGCCTCTCCCCAGCTTATGCAAATACTAAGTGGCCCTAACTGCTGTAGTTGCAAACCCTCCAGAAGCCATTTGGAAGTGCTTTATGAAGTGTAGGGCGCCAAGGCTCTAGCTGAACAAATAGAAAAATCAGTCTCTCTGAAATATCCAAGGCAGGCCAGTTCCTGTCACCTCAGTGCTCATGTGTGCTTGATACCTACAGCCTGCCTTCTTGTGGCATGGCGAAGGGTCACTATTAAAATGGCGGCTTGGAGACACTTCCCACAGGTGAGGTGTCCAGCAAACACTGCCCTTGGTCCCTGCTTGGTCTGCAAGCAGCAAATACCCAGGCTTTAAGTATACTGAGTGGAATGGGGCCGACCATGAGCAGGATTGGCATGGGTATCCCATGGTCGCCAGAATTGGTCCTCTGCCCTTGCACCTATCAGGTCTGCCCAAGGGCTCCCAGCTGGAGTTGCTGTCTGTCCCTTGCTGGGACATTTTGCGTTTCTAGAGTTTGTGTTTCTGTGTCTGAGTTCCTCACACCAAGCAGTGTGGTGATGTGGAGTGGAGGACCTGTGCTCTCCTCTCGTCTTCTCTCTCTCACTTGAACTCCTTTGTCCCACTCTCATCTTGGCTGGTCTTGATCCCGAGATCCTCCTGCCTCTGACTCCCAAGCACTGAGATTACTCATGAGTCACCACGCCAGTCCCTTTGGCCTTCCTTTGGTTCCCTGTATCCCTTCACAGCACTGCTCACCCAGTCAATGCATTCCGCCCCTTCCCGGAAGGTTTACTAAGAAGGGTCCTAGACTGAAGCATGGGCCGAGCACTCATCTTCAGAGCACCCCCCCTGGGGGGGGATAGGGTACAGGGCCACACACGTGTCAGTTGGAGAAGCAGAGCCAAGCAGTGAGGGCATGTAGGGACTGACACCTGAGAGCTGGCTAAGATGACATTTAATCCACGATCTGACTGGAAAGGGAGTGGATGGGAGTCAAGGAGAAGGCCCCAGAGTACATAATAGGTGCCAAGATCCTACCACACAAGGCATGCATGGCAGATCGGCTGAAATCTGCATGAAGAAGATGCTATCAGACAGACTGTGGCTGGAGAAACCTGCAGTGGACAGACCATGGATGCCTGGCACACGGTGACAAGGACATGGTCTGCATCCGGGAGATGAAAGAAGAGTGGGAGCCCCACGTGGCATAATGGATCAAAACAACACAAATAAACAACCATCAAAACCACCGCCACCACAACACACACACACACACAAAGACCTCAAAGACAAAAGGCTTAACCAGTTCTCTCTCTACCACACAGCCCCAGCTACCTTTGAACAGGACCTTCAGTTTCAAGAAGTCTAGTACCACTGTGGAAGGAGCAATCTTATCAAGGCCTGGAGGTGGGTGGCCATGAGCCTCGAAACTGCAGATGCAAAGAACAGAATGGTGACTCTGGGGCTTGCTGCCATGTCCTTGTTTGTTTGTTTTTTTTTTTTTTTTGTTTTTTTTTAAGAGGAGGAACCAGATACTGAGCAGGGGTTTGGTGAACAAGATAACAGCCTCCAGGTACCTTTCAGCAGACAGATTACTCCATAGGCCACAAATGAGTCACTAAATCCAAACCCTTGGATACAAGCTGACATGTGTGCAAATTACAGCTTTCAGACAACAATTGAGGGGAAGAAGCCCAGGCTTGGGCACACGCGCACGCACGCACACACACATGCACGCACGCATGCACACACACACGCACACGCACGCACCACAGCCACCTTTGCTTCCCTTGAAATATCAACTGCCATCGATACTTCCTCAAATTTCTTAAGCTTAAAAGGCAAAAGAAGGCTGGGGAAATGGCTCGGTGGTTGAAGTCCTTTCTGTACAAGCAGGAGGACTCCAAAGCCACAAAAATGCCAAGAGAGCGTAGCGGCTTCCCTGTGATTCCAAGTTCAAAATGTGGAGACGGGCCATGCCGACAGCAAGTGAGCTAGTGAGTTCAGACAGATCAGGAAACTCTGGGTTTGATTGAGAGACCCTGCCTCAAAGGACAAGGCGAAGAGCTGTGGAGAAAGATTTCGGAGAGCAGCCTCTGCACATGCACACACACACAGACACACACACAGACACACAGACACACACACAAACACACACACACACACACACACAAATACACACACACACACAAACACACACGCGGGGGCTTGGGGGTGGGGAGGCAAAAGATCAAGATGTAACCAACCGGCAAAGCAGAAAGGTAATTAGAAGAGTTAAAATCAGGGGTAGCTCAGAATAACAAGAGGAAACAGGGAAATAATACACTAACAAAAAAGCATGAATCAGAAATAATCACACTTTCAAACTGTTTCAGTGGGTTTATGGTGCCTCCAAAATCTGCTTTGTATTTTTATGAGCTTAAAGGAAACGACTACACATTTCATTAGAAAGACCATGCTCTCTTGTTACTGCTGCAGAAAGGAACTGCCAGAGCTGACCTTTGATCTCTGACCTATGCGATGCATCTGCCACATAGGAGCCTGCTGAGCCTCTGGGGTGCTAATGAGAACCTTTTTCTGGGCACTCTTCCTCACCCCTATTTCACAAGCAGGAATAACAGAGCCTAATTTTTCAAATTTATGTTAATGGCAGAGGTTTATTTATTTATCTATTTTATAGTAGGTAGATGGGAAAGAGTGGAAGTATGCCCCTTTAGTCCCAGCAGAGGCAGGTGGATCTCTGTGAGGCCAAGGTTAGTATAATCTATATACAAATTCCATGTCAGCCTGAACTCTAGGTGAAATCCTTTCTCAAAAATAGATAAATGAAGACTTAGTGCATTTAAAAATATTTTTACTTATATATTTACTTCATTTAATATAACACTATATGTCCCGGAACTGTGAGCTAAAATAAAATGTCGATGTGCACTGCTCTCAGAGAATAAAAGAGGGCCTTGGGTATTCTCTGTCATGCTCCATGGATTCCTTTTGACATATGATCTCTCCGTGAACCTGGGGCTCTAGTTTTCTTCACTAGGCTGCAAGCCATCAAGCCCAGAGAATCTCCTATCTCTGCCCCAACTCAGAACAGGAGTGACAGACACATTCAGGACATCTGGCTCATTAAACAGATGCCAAAATCTAAACTCTGGGTTCCAAACGCCGGCCACAAGTACTCTTAACTGCTGAGTCATTTCTCCAACCTCATCTTCCATTACGATAACAAAACACCGATGGCTGGGTACGTTATAAAGTAAAGAAGTTTTCTTGGCTCACGTCTTCAGAGGACTCCTAGTCCTCATGGCTGCAGTATGGTGGATACAGAAGGTGTCAGCAGGACAGGGAGGAAGTGAGGGAGCAGAGAAGAGTCAGCTGCTCCTATGACACTGACCCTTGTGATCAACTAGAAACCCGATTTGCTCCAGTAAACAGGCAGTAAGTCATCCCCATGTGAGCGCACTCATGACCCAACCTAATAGACCCCACTTCTAAAGGTCCTAGCTCCTTTCAGAACTGTGACTGGAGACGGTGGTGGGTAGTCGTGACTGACAGCTAGATATGACTTAAATCACCACAGAAACAAATGACCGAGCACGGCTGTGAGGAACTTCCTAGGTTAGTTTAAATGAAGTGGGAAGACTCATCTAAACGTGGGCTATGGGTGCCTACCAGCTGGAGTCCAGAACTAAATAAGAGGAGAAAACTTAGCCAGTACCATCTCTTCCTGCTTCCACTTCCTGTTCCTGTTACCATACCTTCCTCCATGACGCTTCCCCAAGTTGCTTTTATCCTATGCCAAATTTCCAGTGCACAGCAGGGGTGGGGTGGGGTGGAGGGACGACACCATATCCAAACCATCCGGGCTTCCCCCTAGCAGTCAGCACTGGCCTTTCTGATCTTTTCTTGTGGAAGAGTCCCCTCTAGGCGACTGTCTCCCAAAGGGTACTAAACTTGTTTTTCCTCTTTTCTTTTCTTTTTTAAAGTGAACATCTTTCAAAATGGTGCTTTCTGATAACCAACAACTCCCCACAGAAGAGAAAACTATCTTCATTTGTCAAGGAATTTGATAACATCTCGAAAACGTCTCCCCAAGATAGCACCCCTGAACACACAGAGACACAATACAGCATTTCCGACTCGAAATCCAGCGCCCTCTCTGTTGGAAACACCGCCTCTGGCGAAGGGCTGAAAATGAATCTGTCCATGCCGGGCAAAACGGAAAATTATTTGGGGGAACAGAATTTAACTTCGATAGTTTTTCTTCTCTTTTTCAATTGTACTTTTGTTCGTAGCTTCAGCTGGGAGTGAGCGAGTGCACACATTTAGTTTGGAGTTTATGAGTTCATATTTTATAATTAACGTTGCCAACAGGGGAGTTTGATTAATGCCGAGCAGTGGATTTTGAGCAATGTTCCATACAAATTGCCAAATTTAGCAATAAAGTAAATTGGTGATGTGAACATCATTAGTAGAATGACTACTTAAAATTCAAATCATCAGAGCCACAAATCCATTATTTGTATAGAAGGGAGGAAGTATCACATTTGGTTTTATTTTCGCCTTCAACCACATGTTGTCTACCACCAAGCTGAATATAATGAAAGTTCTAGAATGGGTTGGAACAATATTTTAGGGCTGCTCAGAAACACACACACATGCGCACGCACGTGTGCACACACAAAGGGGCCGTGATAACAGCAAACGCTAAACTGTGAATTTTCATTATTGCAAATATAAAAATCTCTAACAGTCTTTTCAGCCAATGCCACAGTGCATTTCCTGATGTGCTACATACACAGAAACTTCCAGGGCACGCTCACACAGTGAGCCTTTCCCTGTCAACAGTCACAGTACCTTATTGTCACCCTGGACCTCGCCAAGCCTCTGCCGGAGTTCTTTAATTTCTTCTCCCAGATGTTTATTCCTGTCCTGAGAGTCTCTCAACAGCTGTGCAAGATTAGCCTGGAAATATGAACACAGCGCAAGAGCAGTCAGGATGGAGGTATGAACAAATGTGGGTTTTCCTGACATTATGGATGCCGGCATCCAGCTCAGCCGGATCCCACAGAGTCCAGTGCAAGTGAATGTGTGTGAAAGCAGCAAGCATGGCCATCACCCAGTGACAGCTCAAGGAGATGGAGGTGAAGTGGGCAGCAAGCCTCCATTATTTAGGGAGGGGGGGGTCCATCTCCAGAATGGCTCACAAAAATGGACCAGTTACAGAGGAATCAGTTGTATTTGACTATTTCAAAACTTCCCTAAGAGTTTGTCACTAAGATGTCTATTTTTTTTTGGGGGGGGGGGCTTGCTGTGCAAGCATAAGGACCTGAGTTCAAATCCCCAACCCCGACATAAAAAGTCAGGTGTGACTGTGTGCACAGATATAACCCTGGTGCTGTCGGGGAGGAGGCAGGAAGACGTCTGGGGCTTGCTGGCTGCTAGCCTAGCTCAAAGCTCCGTGAGAGACCCTGTCTGGAGGGAATAAGGTGAAGAGTGGTTGCGCAGGACCCCTGATGTCCTCTTCCAGCCTCTGCACCCTCACAAGCACATGCTTGTGTGTATATACTCCCTCCACACACATACACACAAGTAATAAAATGTCCACTTTCCAATGGATAGCGTTCAGCCCTCCAATTAGGGCCGAGAATGTAAGAAAACCTTCTTGTCCCATTTAGATCATTTCTTCTCCTCCTTCAGATGTGTCTTGTTAAATGAGCTCTTCTTTGCTACTTCAGTGCCCAGAATCAGTGTGTATGCTTGTACGTGCATGTGTGTGTGTTCACACATGTGGAGGACAGAGATTGACATTGAATGTCTTGCTCAACTGCTCGCCACCTTATTTATTTGTGACAGTCTCTCACTGAACCTGGAACCCACCAATTCCATAGGCTATCTGGCCAGTGACCCCTAAGGATCCCCCGTGTCTCTGTCTCCACATCAGCGGGATTGCGCTTGTATGCTGCTGTGCCTAACTTTTGCATGTGTGCTGGTGATCAGACTCAGTCCCCATGCTTTTGCAGCAAGCACGTTACCCACGACGCCACCTCCCCAGGCTGAATGCCCAGAACCTCGGTTGCCATTCTAAAGGCAGCTGTTTCCAACATTGGGGTCCAGTTGGGATTCCTTAATCTCCCATCTCATTGTTTCCTGATGGTGGTTCCCATGGTGCCAAAGAGCCCAGGCTATTGCTTTCCACCGCAGTCTTCAGAACCCCCCCCCCCAGAAGCTTCTCCTCTCACAAGCTTCCTCTAACTTCTATCTAGACCTGGGGTACCGACCCTGTTGGGGGGGGCTCACCGAGCCAGCCAGCTGCCTTCCTTTCCCCCAGAGCAGCACTGCTCGCACCGTCTGACATACATCATCTCCTCTTGAGGCTCCCCTGAACTCTTGACACCCCCTACACAGCTTCATGCTTCCCTCCACTCAGTCGTCAGCTTGCCCTTGTTCCCCGTTCTCCAGAAACCCGCCCTTATTTTACAGACCATAGCTTGTTCTGACTCTCACCCGACTGATCGTGTCCTCACTGCCTTTGGCAAAGACCACCACGGAGCAAGGCAGCCGGGCACACGGGGCTTGTGTGTGTGTGTGTGCGCGTGTGTGTGTGTGTGTGTGTGTGTGTGTGTGTGTGTGTGTGTGTGAAAGGAGGAAGGGAGGAGAAAGATGGTGCCTCACAGCAGTCACTCAAAGGGGTGCACACGGAGATAAGTCCCCAGATTCCGTCATGCGGAAGTTGAGGAAACCCAAATCCAGAGGCACAGATGGACAACCCATCTCTAGTGGCCACGTCTCCAAGGCCTCCAATGCTACACTTCAGGGCATGATTATGTGGGGTAGGAAAAGGCCGCAAGGGAAAGAATATAAAGATGAAATTCTCACCCGTTCTTAAATGCCCCTCCGATCGGGCCTCCACAGCCCACTGGTTGGGACTGCCTCCTGTCCATTCCTCCCAGGTACCTGACCTCCATCCATTCTCACTCCTTCTTCCTCCACGCCAGGTCTGATTCCACCTTGGTGCCCAAACCCTGTGTCAGCTCCTTCAGGGTTTTGCATAGAGGTCACTGGTCCCCACAGGACCCCCCTGGACCATTGGATTTAACACGGCCACCCTCCCCTTTGCTCCCGTGCCTTTTGTCTGAGGCGCGTGCCATCCCCTAACATACCATATAATTTACTTCATGGTTTATTGCTCGCTGTTTATTTCCTGACTCCCTGTCCCTGCTAAAGCGTAAGTTCCATGAAGGGCGAGGAACTTGGGTCTCTCTCTCTCCCGCCCCGCTCCTCTAACACAGCTAAAAGGGGAGATGAGACGTTGAGCTGGAGGTTCCAGCCTTGGCAATGGGAGGAAGAACACCAAGTACTGAAACCAGTGCCTGGCATGCAGCCTTGCCTGGGACAAGTCCTCAGCCCCTTGGGTTCCAGTCTCCTTTCCCTAATACAATCCCCACTCCACAGTACAATCTAAATCTTCAGTCCCATATTTGCATGGCTCGTAGCTTACAATATCTTGCTTCCCACTTTCCCAGAATTCTGCTCTCATGAGATAGAAAGTTGATGGTGGGTGAGGAAAGTTAGACTCCCTTTTGTAGGCAGAGAAACAAGGAACCATTGCTCCCAATTGACTGTGGGGAGTTCCCCGGTGGGGAATCAAAGTGACTTCCCAGTTTGGTCACTAGCTGTGGGGGTGGGGGGATTTTTCTCCATCTTCAGAAGGGAACTAACACTGAACTTTCCATGTGGTGATCTGAAAGGTACACAGTAAACATAGAATACTGAAGACGAGGCTGGGCACCCAGGGGGTGCTGCTTAAAGCCCCTCCCCCATGATTCTAACTCGAATACCTTGACGACAGAGTTGTGGGGATACAGCAGGTCCCTCTTTGGCCACAGCTGGTTCTTTATGATTCTGTACCTATATTGTTCATTGTTTACTCATTTATTTACACACATGACTATTGGGCATTTGCTTTGTGCTAGGCACTGTCTGAGGTCTAGGGATGCAGCCATGACCCAAACAGACAAAACTCTGTGCTCTCGGGAACTCACATGTAACTCACATGTAAATTACATGTTGTATGACATGGTACAGAAGGAGAGTGACTCACTAGGTCAGGTCTTAAGCTTTTGGGAAAAATGAAGTACAGGAAACAGAGTGTGCAGAGGAGGTGGCATTGAAAAGGAGGTGGTAGGCCTTGTGGGTACCCTGGGGGCAAGGATCTGGGCAGGAAAGGGGCATTCCTCACCTCACATCCCAGAGTTCTTTGGGCGGGGGAGAGGGAGCAGTTCAATGACACAGGACAGGCTGGGTCCAGGTACTGAAGGTAAAAGATGTTCTTGATTGACATTTCCTGGTTCCTTCCCCGTGCCTTGCTCCCACTGAACTTCAGAAAGTTCCCTGACGTTAGCTAGGCTCATGGGTTTTAGGAAGCTAGCAGAAGCATCCTCCCAGATGGAGGGACAGGTACTAGGCAGGAAGGACGGTCTCAGGGGAGGAGCCATGGCCGCCTGCACCTTTCCATGAGCAGCAATCAAAACTTACGAGAAAACCAAAGCACCAAGATGGCCACACCCTCAGACTTCCCTTTTCAATCAACAATGGCTTGATCCCCTGGTGAGGAGGGGAGACCCTGAGATTTAAGGACCACTACCACTGAATTAGCAAAGCCAGAGTAACTCATCTCGTGCAGCAAGAGAGCAGCATTCCTCAGTCCATTTCTTATCAATGAGTGCTTTTGTGAGATGCAGCCAACATGAATTATTAGGAAAATAAATTTAAGAAAACCCTGTGTTTCAAAGCCATGCCCATAAGACGGCTCTAAAAAGCCTCTGAAAGCCTGCTCCCAATTTCCCTGTCTATCTTGTCACGAACCAGGAACAATTAGGATGCATCATGGCTCCAGACCTAGGGCCTCACTCTAATAAGTGCTGACCCTGGTGCTCCTGGACATTTGGACATAGAGCAGGACAGAAACCCATGATAAACACCCATGATCCCAGAGAACACTGGGGTAGAGGCTTGGGCTGCAACAGGAAAGGCATTCAGAGAACCAGAGCCATGGTCATCAAACCTTATTTAGTATGTAGCCCAGCTGAAAAGAATGCAACCACAATAGCCCGGCATCCTGCCATCACCCACAATGCCATGGTGGTGGTCCGTTGGAACCACAATACTTCTGGGACTGTGAGTTCACAGTACATCTACCCCAGCCTTGAACCTGACTTCAGAGGTAGCAGTAGAAGGGAGGGGAACCCTTGCCTTAAAGCAAGTAACTATAATTTTCTTTTAAACTTATCCAGTGGGGTTGTCAGCACACAATCCTTCTCTATTCAAGCCTTCTACCTTCTCAACTCTGAAACACTAACTAAAAACCCCAAAATGACTATTCTGCTAGGGTACCCAGTTCCACGAGAAACACCTTAAAGCAGAGGGGTAAGGGGGGAGGGTGGCACATTTTCAAGAGCTT